TGGCTCACAAAGCAAAAGTTTGAGGCGTGCATTTGAAAAGCATAAAGAGACAGTTTGTAGTATTTTAGTAAAATAAAAACTTACAATTTGTAGCTGCTGTACCATTTCTTCTCTATATGATAGCTCCCATTTCATCTGATCTTGAAAATTATCTGTGGGTTGAAAGAGAAAGAAACTGTAGATGCAGTAATTAAGAGAGACCCGTACCACAGAATTCATATAAATCAAATGAAATCAAACCCAATCACTGCTGAGGAACTGCAAAGCACTACAAAGCCAACTAAAAATGGGCTTAACAATCTTCTTAACTAATAGAAGACATCGTATGAAATAGAAAACCTTGGAAAAAAATACATTCAGCTATTTCCAAGCAAGTATAAGGTGTTAAATTCCTGTAGCTAACATTCATTCTTGTAATGATACCTCAATAAGCCAGATTCTGCAGTCATTAGTCAGACAAAACTTCTACAAACTCTGAGGAGAGCAAAAACTGCTTTCCTTTGTTTTGGTATAAATCCCTTGACTTCAACAGGAATGTCCAAAATATAAGAATAGAATGCATTAAAGGATGTAGGATTTGATTTACAGTTATCACATAGTACCGACAGTCTTAAACAAAACTCGGAAAACAACAACAAAAAAAACTCCATAAGCAGCAACATGGAAGGGTTAAAGTTTTTCAGCTTGTGTGCTCAGGTAGCTCCTCCTTCCCTTATTCCCCTCTTCACAAACCATTTCAGACAAAATCTCTCTTTGATAGAAGATGAACTGCTGGTCTGTAGGAGGGGAAAATGACAGGCAAGTATAAATAAAAGTATTCACAAGAAATGAAGTTGGAAAATTCCAGCATGGAGGAGATCTGTCCATCATCACAGTGGACAATTAAATGGAAGAGGAAAGAAAACCCACGTTTTGATCCAGGACATGGACAGTCAACTTGGATTAAGGAAGCAGCGAAGTGAATGCAAACAAAATATGGCACAGAGTACCTCAACTGAAGAGGGGCTGGAGGAGGCCAGGCAGCTAGAATGATTTATCTATAAATCAGGGAGGATGAATAGAATAACCCCTTAGTGTGATACTGAGAGTCACAGAAAGACCAAAATTGCATTGGAAGGACAAGGGAACAAGGACAAGAAACGAAGGGAAGGGTGTATATTGCCTGGTGGGGAGAGAGCACAAGCCCCCATCAAGTAACCACACACAGGGGGTGGTAGAAAGAAAAGGGATCAGGGCTCTATTCCCCTCCTTCACGTGAGGATTTTGCCTTCTCTGAACGAAGAGCAAAAGTTGTTTAAAAGGTAAGAAGGCACATTAGGATGACATGAAACTAGCAGTTAAACCAAAAATTCTGAAAAGCCATCAGGAGTTGAGCGTGTCTGCACAGGAAGGACATGACAATGTCATCTGAATGAATTTCTTTAGATTTCAAGTAATGGCACATGGAATTGCTCAGCCTCTTGCCTCTGTGCCAACCCAGCAAGAGAAAGCAGCTGACAGCACTAAGGACAGCACTGAAGCAGGTCTGAACTTCTTCCCTTGCTTTCAAAAAAAGCAGCGCAGAATAAAAAGCTGGTGGACCCCTGTCCCTGTCACTAAGGGCTGAGACCTGTGCCACGAGATGAGTCCTTCAGGAAACAGAAGGAACAGGCTACGTTGACAAGTTTTGGTCACCTTCTCAACACTTTCATCCCAACAGACTCACCGCTTTTCAGAGCAAACAGCTCAGAAACCCTGTTCGTGCCACACTGCAAACGCTCCAGCTCGCCCTGGAAATGGGGTGTCAATGGTAAGGATAATGGTTTTTCCTGCAGCAGTTATTTGAGACTGAACACTTAGAGACAAAGCCATGAGCAATACCCAGGAGGAAAGATATGAATATTTAAAGAGTTTTCTTAACACAAACTTAAATATTTTCTAACTGTCCAGCCTCCGTCTCCACAGTTTTACTACCCATGTTGTTAAATGCAGCTATGCTGCACTACAAACACGTGCATAAAGTCCTATTAGGGCAGCAAATCTTTGAGGGACCCTTTGGCTGGGTGCTGAGAGGCCTTATATGCAAAGGGAGACCTTATCTTCAGCTTTCAAGTACAATAGTAATATAAAAAGGTGCAAACAGCAGAAAACAAAGGCTTGTTTCATAAATTATCACAGGCCACATTTTAAGCAGGCCTAGTCATGGAGATGCAACCATCATTGTAGTACTGAAGGAGCATGAGCTTGCCAAGAAGATCAGTTCTCATTTAATAGTGATTTCCACAAGGACAGCACACACACAGGACTGCACTGTGTAATGACCAAAACATGCTCCAAATGCAAGACCTGAAGAAGTTAACTCTGGAGTTAACTTCCAAGAGCCTCCAATAAAGGTGTCCGAGACACTATCTTCTTATCTTGCATGCTGGTTCCCTGCAGAAAGAGATAAATTCTCTCCTTCAAAAAAAAAAATGCTGAGAAAACTTAAAAATCAAAGCACAAGGAGAACCTCCACCCTGGGAGTGAAAATTATCTGTGTGTTTCTATCCTCAGCATCTTTAGGGACAGGATGAAGATTCGAAGATTCAGTCCCTATAGCCACTCAGACCTCCATCCAATGCTGCAATGAGTCACACTTGAATTCAAGGCCTGTTGCCTGCCTCATTTTAGCTCCCTCCTTCAGACTCAGGTATCTCCAAGTCATAACAGGTTCATCAACACAACCTTAAGTCCAAACCGTTTAACTTCCACTTTCCCTCATAAGTTTTCCCACCACAGGAGGATAGAAATTTGGGAAACCTGGTAAAATAAACACAGTTTTTACTATCTGACCTAAAGCAGCAGCCTGGACTAGCAGTGGGAGCCTGGAACAGGCCTCTTCTCTTTAGGTGCATCTCCTACTTCTTCAGCGCACAAACCACGCTCATCTTGCCTCATACACTTACTTGCTTTGCAAAGGCCTACTTTCTCCTTTTATTATATGTGGAGGAGGGCTATTTTTTGGTAAATATAAATCTGTACACAGGTTTTATGGTCACTTGCATATATTGTTTATAGCACATTATGTGTTTTCTATTTTTATCTTGAACAAAATTGACCACTACTTTGTGGTACATCAAAACCACATATTTTTCAAGCTGGTATGCAAAGATGCCACTTCCTTGGTCGGCCATATGCGTTCTTTTCTTTTATTTGAATTGTATTTCATGTGGTTTAATTGCAGTGTTTATTTACACGGCAATGACAGAGCATTAATTTTACTGCAGAAGAACAAAAGGATAAATGAGTGTCCTGAATGGCAAAGCTCCAAGATGCCATTTCACCAATACCACACATCAGTGTTTTGATCTACACAAATTATTTGAAAATTACCTCACTCCCAAACCCAAGTAATGACTGAATTCATACTGAAGGATGAGGTTACCCTTCTTTCATTAATATCTGTATCACCTCAGGCTCTTCTTCTCCTTTATTTATGAAGCTGTCTACATCTTTTGATATCTGGGCTAAAGATGGAGTTATTCCCGGAGTCTTGTCTCACACTTCTTTGCTTCCCTGAACTTACCCTGTCTGATATTACAGAAAAGGGGAAAAAATATATTTGCTTTAAATAAGAAAATTTCTCTGTGTTCCCACCTTTTTTTTTTCCTGCAAGCCAAAGAGCAGCAACATTCCTCAGCTTATGGCAATTACTTTTGTTTTGTAGGTGTTAGCAGAAGTTGACAAAATGCAGAACAGTCTGGTAGTTAGTCTGGTTTTAAAGTATATATCTTGGCTTGCTGTGAGTTATAGCACTCCACAGCGCTCCTTCCATGCATAGTCTTATAGGAAAATGAGCATGAAAAGTCAGTTTTAAAAAGCAGATTTGAAAAAAGAAAAATCGCTATCAGGAAAATATCGAATGAAGGTGCTGTTAGATGTTCTTTGGACTTCAGGAAGAAAAAGGAAAAAATGGACACAAATGGGTTTTTTCCTTCAGGTTAATTTTAACGGAACTAAGAAGACTGGGCAGGCAGCTGTAAAGCTGTGCATATAGACACTGAAAAGGCTGCACTGCAATAACACACTCTATGTTGTGCTGACTGTCAGAGAGCAAAGGAGATACTGTGATCACTGCAAGTCTGTAAAGTTACATTCAGTACAGGTGGGAGGGCCCTTCCTGTATCTTCTAGATTGTCCTGACCTATGTGGGTTTCTTCTGGAAACACATTTTCCACTGCTGCTGCCAGCACAATTTGAAAGACCGCAAGCAATAGATCTTTTACCATATCCCAATATAGGAAATTCAACCTTTTGGATGCTTCATGAAAATCCTTCCAATCTTGCATTTTGTTTCCTTTTGTTAAATACATGCCAGCACATGCCAGCACCCTGGGCAGCACCCTGCTTATGAGCCACGGTGAAAGAACCATCTCGGCCCATCTCAAGAGCAAAAAATCTAAGCAGGTTTTTGTGCTTCTCAAACATAGGCCAGATCAATTCTCCAGCATCGGCTGGGAGATGGTCATGATAAATTACAGTGATTTCAGAAGTCTCCAAGAAGTAGGTTAAAAAGACTGACTTTGATGGACCCCCAAACCCCAGGTGTCTTTCACTAACCTCTATCATTCCTTCCAGCAGAGAGGGAGTATAGCACAGGAAGCAGTAGGATGGCCCTATGCTGGAAGATCCTCTTTTCCAGCAGGCTTTCACAGTTTTTAGGAGTTTTGGGATCAAAGTTTACTTGGAGGCAGACATACCACTCTACTCCAGGAACATCAGTATACTCAATATGTGGGCAATATATTTTTTCCAGTAAAATATACACCAAAAGAGATATCCAGCTTCAGATTTTCTCTAAGAAAGACCTGTTTTGGCAGCTTGAAAAGACACAGCAAAACTCTCATCAACCCCACCAGAACCAAGCTAAAGATCCGATCCTGGCAGGACAACTGAGAAAATATCTCTTCCACATCAACACTGTGGAAACACCACAAGCAACAACTCTCAAGTAACACCAAAACCAGAGATATGTGTCTTACCGAACACTGGGAAAGATGCGTTTCCTTTCAACACCTGGAATTCCTCTTCTAGTCTCCTTTGTAAGTCAATTTGTTCAAACAAAACCTTCCGGAGTTCCTCTAATAAAGAGAAAAGTGTTTTAACTAATCTGTAAAAATAATTCTTGAAAGAACAGTTGCAGAGCAATTCATTACCATAAGACAAAATATTTTAGTAGTCATTAAAAAAAAAGTGTTGCATAGACCTACGATAGATTTTGTGCAGAAAGCCATGAACATAAAACGATGTAATATATTAAAGTATTATATTAGTGTCATGCATTGATTGATATATATGCATTAATCTCAATTATATCCACCCAAACGTCCATTTATAATTCATATGTTACTTGACAAGCTTAAAATATGGTGCAGAACAAAAATGCCCCCTATTATCCTCATATTCTATTAAAACAAAGAGCAGTTTTACAACATAAGAGGCACTTATTTATTTTACCTTTTCCCATGTTTTCTACATCCTTCTTCAGTGAATGAGGTGAATTAGTTTCTTGGGTGTGTTCGCCTTAAAAAAAGGAAAACAAAGAAGTTATTGATTTACCAATACTGCTTTGTATCAGTACTGTTGTTACTACATAATTCCTTCAGAGTCTGGAGGAAAAAAAATGAAGAAAGAAAGAAAGAAAAAAGGAGAAAAAAGAAGAAATGTTCCTGCACAACATGCAGAGGCCATTCCTGAACAAGACAAGCCACTTTGTGACCAAGGACATGGTGTCTTTACGAGTGAAGATTCTCAAACATGGCCTGGGCAGTGCCCCTCTAGCTGCTCTCAGGATCTCCAGCGTGCTCTCGGTTCTGCTCCAATATGCTTGGCTGCAGAAACACTCGCCCTGAAATGCTACTCCATACATTTCATTAGCACAGCCCATCTCCACGTTGCTTAGCATGTGTGAGCTTTAAACTAGATGAGAAAGGGGAAGGGGAGTGTCACGCAGACAGGGCAATCAGTACCACACAGCCAAAGTCAGATGGCTTCCAGCGGGAGTATGCTAGTGGGGAAGTGAGGATAGGATATGATTATAGAGGGTCCCCTTTCACCCTTCCTGGGGAACCTGGAGGCTCGATTACTTCCCTGAAATGCCTGTACACCAATGCGCGCAGCATGGGGAATAAGCAGGACGAACTGGAGATCTGTGTGCGGTCCCAGCATCATGATCTCATTGGAATCACAGAGACATGGTGGGATAGCTCGCACGACTGGAGCGCTGCCATGGAAGGCTGTGTGCTCTTTAGGAAGGACAGGCTGGGAAGGCGAGGTGGTGGAGTTGCTCTTTATGTGAGAGAGCAACTGGAATGCATGGAGCTCAACCTGGGGGTGGAGGATGAGCGAGTTGAGAGCCTGTGGGTAAGGGTTACAAGGCAGGCTAATGTGGGAGACACTGTGGGGGGTGTCTGCTACAGGCCACCTGATCAGGACAGGGAGGTTGATGAGGCCTTCTATAGTCAGCTGGCCCTGGTTCTCACGGGGGACTTCAACTACCCCGACATCAACTGGAAGGACAACACAGCCAGGCACAAACAGTCCTGGAGGTTCCTGCAGTGCGTTGACGATAACTTTTTGATGCAGGTTGTGGAGAAGCCGACGAGGAGAGGTGGGCTACTGGACCTTGTGCTATCAAATAGGGAGGGTCTTGTAGGAGATGTTAAGGTGGGGGGTAGCCTCGGCTGCAGTGACCATGAGTTGGTGGAGTTCAGGATCCAACGAGGAGGTGGCAGGGCTGTAAGTAGCCTTGCAACGATGGACTTCAGGAGGGCCAACTTTGGCCTCTTCAGAGACCTCCTTGGAAGAATCCCATGGGCTAGAGCTCTAGAAGGAAGGGGGACCCAAGAGAGCTGG